GAAGTTGACTTCTATTCCCAGGGAATAAAATCCTAGGAATCAAAGTGGAATAAGTGTGTTGAGTTAAAAGGTGACTACAATGAAAAATAAAGTGTTAGTTTCCCCCTCGGATGTTTCTTTCTTATTCAGGTAGATAACTTAATGAGTGACCCTTGTATTACCTCCAATGAATGTGGCAGAAATTTACATGTAGGGTTAGACGTTGATGTTGACAACACCGCATGGCAACCGCAAGTTAAATATCGAACTTTTTTCACCAGCATTCTAGAGAGATGATAGAATAATTGTGATGGAATAGATTTAGTATGCGTGCTGCTCTCAAGACATTTCCACTTGAGTAGTTCTCGTATTTGTTCCGGTGCGGTAAGTCAAGGATTGACTTCTTAGGAATTAAAATCCTAAACTTTGGCGTCTTCCGTCTTCCTCGACATACTGCATGGATGAAAATGCCAAGCATTTCAGCCGTTGTAAATACTCTCCCCCTATCCTATTCTTAAAATTCGCCAGAAGGTAATTGCTAAGTCTACTCTAAAAAATATTGTGAATATAGTACTCCATACCCATATAATTTCAATTCATCCTCACCAGAAATAATAGACTCCCGCCACTTTTGCACTCTCTCTTTTCCAGTGACTTTACAGTTCTTCAAACAGGAGCATATGGGACGTGTGTCACGTTCAATTGTAAGGGAGGCAAGAACGTTCACGGTTCTCAAGACTCAAACTCTGAAGGCTACGGTTCCAAGGAGCCCGACTTTTTCAAGAGCATGAAACCATCGGTAATACCCCCATTTCCAATGAGTAACCACTACCTCCTCAGAACTCTCTCTTTCATTATGGCAGGAAGGACTTCAGCTCGTGCTCACGACATACGCACCGAACGAAGTATTCCTTCTTTCGCCGGCCGACGGCTTCAGGCTCACGGTTCACCCAATCGAGTCCGACCCAAATCCGCTGGGTGAAGGATTTGACGTGAACCTGCAAATGGTTTCCAACGTCGTTATATCGAAGATGCAATTTGAGCGACTTCATCCAGAGGATGGGGGAAATTGTGCTCTGGATACCTTCTTGATGCAAAGGTTCGGCACCGAGGTCTTCAACATCACACAGGACACGAAATACTCTAAGAAGGTGGGAAAAATGCTTGATTCAATTTTCTTCCTTCTCAATCCTTTACTGAGATCGTGGATGCTCTCATGATCAGTTGTGTCAGGAAATATGCGAGATTCAAATGCTGCCCGGGGACGCCCGAGGCTGCCCTACATATCCTGTTCAGCTGGTCCCCATGAACGCAACAAGAAATTGCAACATGAATAGTGAGAAATTCAAAATCATTTTTGCATGGTTAACACGTAGATTCCTTCATTTCCAGTGCATAAGTTGGGTTTTGATTATACGAGGGATTTCTCAGAAGTTCAGCCAGTAGCCCCAAAGAAATAAAAAATCTAGTGTTCCATTATTAAATTCTGATTTTTATTGCCATAGGCAAATATTTCACACCTTTTCCACATACTCCCCACCGATTTCAATGCATTTTTTCATGCGATGGATCCAACCAGGTGAAAAACCTTTTTTTAATATAATAAAAAAAATTGTTTCCCGAACTGGTTCAGCACTTTGCGGCCGCCTCCGATAGTGACTGGCAGAAGTTTTGAGAAACTCCTCGTAGTATATATGAATCTTAATTATTCCCAAAGATCTCTTCGAAACTGCAGAAATTTTCAAAGAAATTAATTTTTTTTCTTTTCGTTAGGTTATTTTAAATCCTACTTGCAAATTCATCGGAAAATCATCGCTGACGATGGGTTCTGCGGTTGTCCTACTCAAGCTTGCACGTAAGCCCCTACTTTGCCTCATTTCGCCAAGACGCGAAAGCCGAACGAAAATTTCTGCTGCTTCAGAGAGGAGTCATTCCGATGGTCGCTGTCGTCGGCGCAGATGGGCCGCGAGAAATCTTTGTTCTTGGATCTCATCTCCTGGATGAAGAGCGAGAACATCTTTGCCTACTGGATGCTGCTTGACTTATTGTACTGGATGACAGTAGTAGACTTCAAACGACCGTAAGTTTGACAAAAATAAGCATCTAAACCCCTTCTTAATGTCGTTTGTAGAGCTTGATTTTATAACTGAATCTGTCTCATAAAAGATACATGCACACCCAATTAATGCTTTTGGAAATGCATGAGATGCGGAACAATCCATGTCTATTTACTTTGTTCACAGTGAGAATCTCGCTGTCGTCAACGTGTACTATGAAACCATGGCCGTTGCGAAAACTGTGGAGAGTGCTCTATATCCTGTAAGTATATTGTCTTGAACCATTTCTCAAAATGTGTTTCATGATTCCATGCACAAGATTCTACTTGGAACAGTGGACAAGTTTCATCGGGACATTGGGAGGGTTGCTGGGTCTCTACACTGGAATCTCCTTCCTCTCCGTTCTGGAAATGCTGGAGTGGATCTTCGACCTTCTCTTGTATGGATGGAGGAAGCCTCGGCATGACAGGATAGGACCGAAGCGACTGGTCATCATCACCAGTGAGTTGGGAGACATTTGATGTACTATCAATATAGGCAATGGAAATTATTTCTTTCATCATGCCTCACAGTGAGGGAGAGACCTGAAATGGAAGGAAAATCCGGAAAGAAGGAAGCGGAGAAAACAGTCCTTACTTGGGAAGATCCGCCCATCTACAATCCTCCAAGTTTTGGAGAAACCTGGAAAGCTGCACTCGATCTTGCCCATTCTCGTAAATTACTCAAGACGTAGGGATCTTCGTATCCGTAGATCGACGACTATGCGATATGCTATGTACTCTGCTTCTCACATTGTTGCACTCTTCGTATTTCTAAGAACTATCAATATCCCTCATGATTTACACACTCTTTTTGGCTGTAATCATTGGAAATGTGTATAGTATGTCAGTGAATGTCACTATAAGTCAAACGGAACAGTGCAATATTACTTTTTTTCTTCGGTTTCGTTTTTGAACGAATCAAAACGAATGCATATTGTGATTCTGAAGCTCAGCATTTCCGCACTTAAATTTTCATTTATACCATTCCCTCAGCAGTTTTTCTGCTTCCTTCCTTCTGGGAAACATTGGCGAAGATTAGTAATTAGCCAGAAAAGAAACGTTTGTACTGGGATTTTGGTGTATTGAACGTACATTCCAAGTTACTAGTATATTATGGCAAAAATGGGATTTCGCAGTACTTCAAAAACATCATGGAAAGAATTTTTTGTGAAAGATAAGAGTCCTTTCCTTGGGAAACTCAATGAATACACGCATTACCTTCCTGAGCAGTAGCTGTGTTTAAGTATCAGTCTTACCTACCACTGTAGGCAAACCATGCCATTTTGTAATAAATACAATGTATTCAATGCGGCAGACTTCAAATTTTGCTTTGCAGCCAAGGAATGCAGCCTTTCAGATCGCAATTGTAGTGGCCAATATTTTTCATTTCATGTATGAATTGTATGAAAATCGTTTTCATACATGCATGGCCAATAAAAAGAAGCAGGAATAATGTAATGGATACAATCGGAGGTGGAGGAAGAAGGAGGAGGATGGAGGAGGAATGGTATTATATGTATGTGTGGGGAAGTATTAATAGTTCAAGAATTTCTCATTACTATTCGGCATAAGTGGCAGTTTTACCCANACGCAATATTATTGATTCGAAATAAGGCCGTTGAAAATATTTGCTGTGTGTTCCATTTAATTTTCTTTCAACAGAAATCCATTTACCTTAATTACGAAGACGTGAATGTTTCACGGGTACCAGCCAGTATACAGGTATAATACGCCGTTTACCGAATATCTTAACCATGAAGGAGAAATCGCGTGAGGGTGAGAATGGTCTGTTTTTCATGGTCTAAAATCTTGCACAAAAAATGTCTTAATTAATTAATTTATTACTAAGTTGAATCATTTATTTCTTTGATGTTACTTGTTAAGTGCTCTCTTTTGGGTTGGCCAGGCAGTCACTTCTATCTCAACGATCCCCTTCACATCTAATTGTCAAGTGCATTTTTCTTACTGCAATTAAAAATTATTCATGAGTTAAATACTTCCTACCCGCCGAATGGTACATGTGACATATCAATCGCATGCTCTTGATGAAAAGATTGTGTTAGGGCATATTTCATCTGCGAAAGATGAGAAGAGAATTGGTAATTTTAATGTGTACCCACGTTGAACGGAGGGTGAGAGTGCCTGTTTTCTTTGGAACAGAAAGCCTCATGTGTGGTGAGAGGCAGCGTAATCGTATGTCCCGACTTCGGTAGTGTAATGGTAGAGCGCCTGACTGACTGTTAGGAGGTCCAGGATGAAGTCCCCCCCTGTCCACCGGATTTATTTCGTCCCCTCCTGCCAGCCTCGTGACCCCTACCATGCATTCCCAAAAGAAAAACTCTGTCACATGATTCATCCTAAAACGCATTGCTTTTGAGTTTTTGCTATGTACCCTAACTGACGAACCTCAGAGAAAACAGAATGAAAACCGATCAAGCGAGCGGCATTCCTTCTATGTTTTGCCGATCGAGTGCGAAAGTCTGGTTAATTTGGTGGATGATGGGTCAGTTGGATTAGTAAATAACCGTGTCCGAAGGCCACGCGAACTACTTTCTTTCTTTCCGATGCAACATTTTTGTGCTTCTCGGATAGGACTATGCAGTTTCCTGGACCTCAACGATACACTCTGCGTCTTATCACTGTTTCTTTCCCTTACTGCTAATGAAAAGTTAACCTTTGGTTCCTTCCCAAGTAAAGTATGACCGTCCAAGTGGACGTTCAACCTCTGTTCAGTGAGGTTTTAGGACGTTGAATGTTCAAGGATGAGGAGCTTTTTAGACACTCATCAAAACCTCTAAATTATTTATTTCCCCAAGGTCTCAAATAAAAGCTTTCGCTTCGAATGGTCAGAGGTCGTCTTAGCGTGAACGTTAACATCGCTCCAGTGCTTCTTTTCCTGACGAAATCAAAGGTGCCCGTCAGATACTTACATTTTCAGAATTCAGTGAATACACTTACATCAATTTTCGCATTTGCATTTATGATCCACGATCGAAAAAGGCATCAACATGGAATTACAAAATGGAATTCACATGTCTCTTCCCGGCGGTGCCGCGTCGTCTGAAATGTATCTGCAATTAGAAGTGTGTCTTTAGCAGAGTCGATAGGGGAGGGTTGAGTGTCCTCGCATCGTCTAGACACACGTCAAATTTCGTCCTCCACTTCATTATGTCGAAGGAGGGCCCCCTTAAAAACCCACGGGGCAAAGCATGGACTGTTGAGGGATGATGCCCTGAATATTTGGTGCATGAGACGTTGGAATGGAGGAGCTTCCCTTCAACAGAATCCCAGTCCTGCCTGACTTCCTTAACGTTTCTGTGAATTTCTAACATTTTCTGTGATATTCTGTTAAAACAATGAGTGGTCGACCTCGAGGAAGACCTCCTGGACACTCACGAGGTCGTAGAAGTGTTTCTTGTAGTGCTCGAAGGGAGCGAGAAACTGTAATGCTACGTATTGCGTCGAGATACAGCCGTAGACGGATTGCGAGAAAACGGCATTACATGACTCTTGATGCTATGCATACGACCGAAGATGGCATCAATCTCTTCTCTGTGGGCAATCAGTACGTGATGAGCCATTGGGAAGAACGATCAAAATAATATATTTGACAATTTTTAGATAGTGCTGACACCTACCCAAGCAACATGTTTACGTAAACAAGATGTCAATTTTTTGCAAACAATGTAAATTTATTGCGATTGACATGAAAATGGCATCACGTTTACGCAAAATTGACGTTCCTATATTTACGTCACCAAAGTGTACGTGTATTTTACATAAACTAGACGTCACTCCATCTGACGTGATGTACATGATATTAAGTTTATGCAAAGTTAACATCACACTTTCCATATGAAACTTTAGCTGACCATCCCGCAGTTGCAATACCAAGATTCCTCACTATATGGAATCCTTGTTCCCCACACCATACAAATGCTATTAAATACTGGCTTTCCCGATATAGTATCAGGTTTCTTTACCATTCTTCCACTTTTTATTATGCAATCCATGAATATATATATGGAAATCAGAACATTATCACATATTTTTATAATATATGACTCAGGGAATCATTAAATGCTGAAGCTAAGCTTCTTATTACAGTAGGCCATGGGATTACGGAAGAGTAGAATCCCAGCTCCCCAATTACCTTCTCTATCCTTAATGGAAGAGAACTTCTCTCAGCATTTCTTCCTCCTCCCGAAGGTCCTGTTACGGGAGGGGGAACTAGTGAGACATCTTGGTACTCTTGAGTGCTGGTGAGGATGAGTACTCATGTACTCGTTCAAGTAACCTTGAGTTCCAAAGAATGGAAAGGGATGGGGGAAGTACTGTGTATCATTTCGAAATCAATACTGCGTATTGATTTCGAATAATAATAATAATAAATTAGGGATTCTGCCAAATGGATTCCTTCGGTTCCAGGTTTTTAAAAAATATTTTTCATTTAGATTTTTTTGTGAAGCGTCTTGGAAATGAATCTATTGTTCCAATTATTCATGCTCGATATTTGTGTAGCACCATATAAACTGGAAGAAAAAATTCATTCGTGGAAATTAAAGATGACTAATGGCAAGAAAACATGCCGCAAACCGGAGGAGGCGAACTGTGAAGGACATGTAAGCAGCAAAGAAAGAAAACGTTATACAATTCCGCATATTTAGAGATTAGAAACCCACGAAGAAACTGCGGTGATGAGTTTCTTCTCTGAGTCCGTATATACTCAAGGGGTGACGAATCGCCCGGCAATTCATGACAGACGCTTGAAATCCATGAACACAAGCCATTACGTAGGATGTGCAGCTGTGAGCGATCCCCTGACGCGTCTCGCGCAGTCTAGTCTCTTCGTAAAGCCTGAAGATGGGGAGACCTGAGTGAAACTCCACTTCCCGTGGATGTTTTCGCCCTTTCCGGCGTATTCTGACGTTTCTCTTAAAAGGCACCTCCTTCGAAGATGAAAAAGATTTATGTGAAAACTCCCAAATTCACATCTGGAAGCGTTTCGTCTGTAGGGCTGTCGCACATTCACACAAACATATATTTGTCGCCAGGCATAGCTAGCAGCGAGGAATGCTCACCTAACCGAGGTCCTCCGGTTTCAAACAACTGCCCGAAGATCCAAATAATGCAAGGAAAAACTTCATATGGGGGAATTCTTGCGAAAAGAAGAAAACAAAATGTTAACTTAGAATTTCACTGCATGAACCTTCGTTTTCCTTGAAAACTACTTGAAAAATACATGGATGAAAGAATAGAAAAGAGGATATGTCCTCATATTTAGTCGAGTAATTAATCCACTTTCCATGAAGAAGCTATTACCTTTCACCTGTTTTTATTTTTTAATGATTTATTAATGCTGAGGGATGGCAATTAACGTGATTAATGGGAGTCGTTAATTATAGGTGTACGAGCTACGCCGCAATTCTCTCCGTGCTCATGCAAATACGTACTTGCTTACCATGTCGACCGACACACATAGAGGTCATAGGAGGATGCATTAGCGATGTTTGCCTCTGACGTTATCCTCGGGAAAAGGCAGCTACGGTAAGCAGTCAATATTTATCTGTGCATGAGTCCGAGCAATAATCGTAAATCTTTACGGGAGCGGGGATCCATTGGATCCCCGCTGTACAAAAGAAACCGGTGTAGGTATCTAGACGATACAGACATCCGTGCGATTAAAAGGCTCCCATGTATCTATCCCAAGCTGATACTGGATATT